CCCGAATTGATCGTGTCGTAAAAAAAAAAAAAAATTGTGTCCGAACGTGTCACGTTTCGAACGTGTTAGACCCCCCTTCTTTTCCCGTTCTCTTGTCCGAATCGATAAAGGCAATAATAAAAATTGAATCGATGATAATAATATTAATAATAATAATAATAATAATAATACTAATAATAATAATAATAAATTAGTAAACGAACGACAGAAAAATATCGGGTCATGAAAAAATAATTCGTTATTATTATCATCATTATCATTATCATTATTATTATTGCTGTTTTTTTTTTTATTGGCTCTAAGTGAACGTTTACCTTTGGAGTCCTTTTCCGAAAAGGTTTCTATGAAATTCCCGGGGGAATCATAACGGTAACATTATAATCATTATCATCATTATCATTCTCGTCTAATCTCTTAAGGATTAGGTGGGGGAGGAGGAGGTGAAGGGGAGGGTTAGCGGGGGTGGCGAACCTAATTTGATTTAACCCCGAGACAAAAAAAAAAAAAAAAATTGAATTTTTGATATCGTTTGTTTTCATTACAGTCCGACAGTCATGGAATCGAAGCAGGGCCGGATCTCGACCAAGAAATGGAGAAAGTTTTTTCGATGGATGGAGAAAAATTCGATCTCTCGAAAATATCGACGTCACCGGACTCGAAATTATCGAACGCTGGAAAACGTACGGGAGGAGAAATCGATTTAAATCGTAAGTTTTTTTTTTTTTTTTTGTTTTTTTTTTTTTTACACTTAAAAATAATTCAAAACGAAAGGAAGGACGAATAATTTCGACACGTGTGATTATAAAAGGTTTAACCCACGTGGGAAGGAAAAAATTAATAATAATGATAATAACTACATTGAAATAAAATATTTAAGGGTTTCTTATTATCAATTCGACTCAATCGAATATATATTGATATCATTTTTTTTTTAACGATGTTTACTTTAACCGAGTCGAATAAAAAAAAAAAAATTTAATTTGTTTCGTTTCGATACGAGGGAAAAACCTTTTTTTTTTGGGGGGGGTGAGGGGTGGGAAATGGGAAATTCAAAATGAAAGTAAAAAATAATAATGATAATAATAAACGAATCGAAATTTTTTATTAAATTAAAATACGTAAAAATGGCGTAAAAACGAAACGTTTTACGTTTATATAATATCGAAAAAAAAAAGAAAATTTTCTTCTGCCACGTTTTTTTTTTTTTTTTTTCGTATAGATTGGTTGCATCCGAAACTGTAGTCTTTCTTCTTCCACTTTTTTTTTTTTTTTTTTTTTTTTATCTTTTTATTCCCCCGACGGGTTTTTTGATTTTCGCGAAACTGCAAAAAAAGAAATTATCCTCCCCTCCCCTCTCCGCTGTCTCCACCCCTCTCTTCCGTCCCCACCTCTTCCCTCTCCTACTCCCCCCACGAAAAAAAAGAAAAAGGAAAATTGAAATTATTGTTCGATTTTTTTTTTTTTTTTTTTTTGATTTTATCCAAATTTCGAACGTTTTGTACCCCGCATCAGGTTGATTGGTTGATTGGTTGTTTGTTTGGTTGGTTGTTGTTGTTGTTGTTGTGGGTGAAAAATTGATTATTATTTTTTTTTTAATCGTTCGTTCGATTTTGTTATTCATTTGCAAATAGTCAATATCAAAGAGGAGGAAAATTATTGGTTTCAAGGTCGTTCTTGTTAACGTTATACGAGATATAATTAAAAATATTAATACAGTTCAATTTGTCGGAAAGTTCAAATTTGGTAAACAAAATAAAACTTTAAAAAACGATAATAATAATAATAATAATAATAATAATTATTATTATTATTATTATTATTATTATTGTTACTATTATTCACATTTATTTATTTATTTATTTAATACTTAATTAAAGTAATAAACAAATAAATTAATTTTTGATTGCGTGTCATCGTCGTCGTTGTCGTCGTGGCCGTCGTCATAATAATAATAATATTAATAATAATAATAATCGTCGTCGTCGATGTAATAATAATAATAATAATAATCATCGTCGTCATCGTTGACATAAAAAAAAAAAAAAAAAAATTATAATAAGGGAAATTTATTATCATTATCATTTTAATAGTTTTTAAATTGGATTCAAAATAGAAATTTGTCAATATTATTATTATTATTATTATTATTATTATTATTATTATTATTATTATTATTATCATCGTTAATAATTTTTTTTGGTTTGCATTAGAAAAAATCAATGGGATGTCATTTATTATCATTATCATTATTATTATTGTCATTATATTATATTTTAATTTATGTATGAATGACGTCACGAATAAAATTAATTAATTATTTATTATTATTATTATTATTTGTTTGTCAAAAAGAAGGAAGAGAAAGAAGAAAAATAAGAAAAAAAAAATAAGAAAAAAAAAATTTCTTTAATTCTTTTCATCGTAATTAGAAGGTAGTGAGTGAATAGAGAGAGAAAGAGAGAGAGAAAAGAGTGAAAAGAGTGAGAAAGTGAAAGAAAAAATGGCGGGAAAATTTTTTTTTAATTTTCTTTGTAATTTAATACGTTTTTCTTTCTTTCGTTTTCTTTTTTTTTTTTTTTTTTTTTAATTAACTTGAAAGTTTTTTTTTTTTTTTTTTCTGCTCAACGAATTAATTTGTTTCGGATATCTTTTCTTTTTATGAGTGAGGAGAAGGAGGAGGAGGAGAAGGAGGAGGGGGAGGAATAATGGCGGAAAAGATAATTTCTATTAAAAAAAAAGTAATAATTATAAGTGAGTGAGTGAATGAGTGTTTTTTTTTTTTTTTTTTAATTTGGTGTAATTGATTAAAAAAAAAAAAGGAAAAAAAAATTAAGCGAATCAAGGAGGCCTTGATCTTCGATTCGTTCTTTAAAGATTTATTCGTTCGGGTTTTTAGTATTAATAATAATAAAGAAGGCGGTGAAAATGAGAGAGAGAGAGAGAGAGAAAATGATTCTTTCATTTGCTAAACACTTTGTTAAATAATTAACGACCCGCTAATTATTTTTTTAAAAATGCAAAAATCCCCAACGAGTTGATAAATATTTGAAAAAAAAAAAGAGGGAAATGAAAAAAAAATTTTTTTTTTTTGTCATGTTGTCGCTCTGTCGTAATAATTCTTATAATTTGAATTTTTTTTTGGTTTGATTTCCAGTTCATCGGAAGAAATCATATCCGCACATGTATCCGCCGTTGAAATCATTACATTTTCGTGGTTCCAGACGATTCAGTTCGCCGAGACATTCGGAATCGGAAAGTCCAGATGGCGGTTCTGACGTAAGAAATATTAATTATTATCATTATCATTCGTTTCGCGTGAGAATAATAATAATAATTAATTTTTTTCTTTTCTTTTCAGATCAACACAAGTAGAAAAAATTCAAAAACCGGAACGGAATCGGACGTTTGTCAAAGTCCGACGGAAATTCCAAGCATAATAATTTCGGACGAAGATAAAAAAGATGGTAAAATGGAAAGCGATGAAGAGGCTCCGCTGTCGGAAAGGGCAGCCGTACCTCATCACGATTCTTTGGTGTACAATTGTTCTTCCGATGCACTTCGACGAGTGCAATTTCAAATAGGTGAAATATTCATTTCGTCTGCTGTTGCTGTTGTCGTCGTCGTCGCGTGATAAGGTAATCATCAAACGCGTTCTTCTTATTTTGCAGGTGATATCGCTGAAGATCCCAACAGCGCAGATGATAATGCCGTGAAAGACAACAGAGAATCGGGTGATAAGAAAAAAATATCGAGCGAAAGAAGGAGTAGCAGAGATAAAAGAATGAGTAAGGATGATTTCGAAAGGACGGACGTGGAAAAAAGAAGGAGAAAACACAGGTTGGGGGCTGGGTGTCGGGGGGGGGGAGCGAAGTCACGTTAATTTTTATCAAAAGAAGGAGAAATCATTCATTCATTCATTCATTCATTCCAGGCATCATCATCATTACAGCAGGTATAGAAAATACAGTTTGCAAGATGATTTGGTCGCGAGAACGAGAGTCGGATCCGAAGTGACACCGTCGGAAATTTCTAGAAAAAATAGCATACAACCCGAAGAAGCTTCCTTGTTGGACGAAGTGGATGTAGAAAATTTAGAAAGTTAGCGCGCGAATCGATTTATAGAAAATCGGAAAGTTTGATTTTAAAAAGAAAACAAAAACCCCAAAAAAAAAAAAAAAATTCTTTTAATTTTTCCAGGTAGGAGATTTGATGATTTAAGAAGGTATAAGGTACCTTTGAAAAATTCATCGTTATCTGTGATAAGAATCGGTCGGAAAGATGGTGATAATATGGAAAACGTCGTGCCTTTAGGTAGTGATAAGAAAATGATCGATCACAGTCCTCACGAAGTCAGTCGCCATTTTTTTTTTTTTTTTTTTTTAAAATAAGAATCCGTCGGATGATGCATAAAAAAAAAAACTCACGTACGAAAATTTTTTAGGTATTCGTACAATTGGATGAATTGTGCGGGGAAGGAGATGAAAAAGAGTGGAAGGAGACAGCCCGTTGGATAAAATACGAAGAAGACGTGGAAGAAGGAGCCGATAGATGGGGTCAACCACACGTTGCATCTTTAAGTTTTCATTCGTTGTTAAATTTGAGACGATGCCTCGAAACAGGTACGATAAGGAAAAGGAGAAAAGGGGATCTGAAAAAAAAAAAAGAATGACATTTTTAATTTCCGGTTTTATTCCCGTTCGTACAGGTGTCGTCCTGTTGGATTTAGAAGAAAAAGATTTACCGGGAGTCGCTTACAGAGTCGTCGAACAAATGGTCATAGAAGAATTCATTGATGAATCCGATAAAGCGACGGTTATGAGAGCACTTTTGCTCAGGCACCGTCACGTCAACGAACACGACAGGTTTAGATTTGCCATGAAGAGAAATTTTTCTAGTTACACTAGTTTGCAAGTACGTTAAATCAAATATATAAATATTCGGGAGGGGAGGGAGGGAGGGAGGGAAGGGACAAAGGAAAAACGAGATTTACACATGTATATTGTAATTCTTTCTTTTGTCTAAAGATGTCTCCACTTTTGCGACACTTCGAAAAGTTAATTTAATCGTTATTTGAATTTTTTTTGTTTATTTTATTTCCGCAAGTCATTCAGACAACAATCAGAAGGAGAACGTTGTTCTATATGCGAAGCTGAGGAAATACGAAGAGTAAATTAAAAATCAAAATCCATACTTTAATCTCATTTAATAACGCATTCAACTTAGTTAGTCTCTTGTATTATAGAAACAAACAAAAAAAAAATTTATTTTTTTTCGAAAGTTTTGAATAGTTGCATGACGTCATTTCCGATTATTCGATTTTTTTTTATTTTCCCCCCTTCCCGAGCATGAAATCAATCAAATCAATTTTTTAAACTTTTTTTTTTTCTGTATTTCGCCACCACGAAAACTTTTTCCCCCACCCGTTTTGTAATCAATCATTCATCAACTTTTCGATCGATCGATCAATCAATCAATCATTCATTCACGAGTAGATTTTTTTTTTCTTTAGTTAAAAATTAGGAATTTCGAAATCGCTTTGCTCGATCTCATCTTTAACATTCAAGAAAAAAAAAAATAATAATAATGATAATGATTCGTATATTTAGTGAATGTGGAAAATTTTCTTAATCATTTCCGGTAAAAAAATTTTTTTGTTTTTCTTTTTTCATTTTCCTCCCTTCATTACGTCACGAATCGTTTATTAGTTTTTCTATTTTGCATTTTGACCACCAGTAGTCGATGATTATATTTTTTTTTATTACCGGAAAATTTTTTTCTTTTTTAAAAGTAAATAATAATAATAATAATTGGGAAATGTGTGGTTAGTGAAATGGTTTTAAAAAGAAAAAAATTTTTTTGATTTTCAGAATTTAAATCACGATGCCAAACCGAAAATCGTACCCTCTCTCGCGAGCATGGATCATTTTTCTCAAAAGAATAATTTTGGCGGGAAAGGTGACGATAAAGCGGCAAACGGTGATTTCCACCATCACACGGTAAGTCGTGAGTAAAATTTATTTAAAATTTCCGAATGGAAAAATAAAAATTGACGAAAAAAGGTTTCGTACCTTAAATTTAGATCGACATGAAAGAAGAATTGACGTACACGTCGTCGAGCGAGGATTTGAGGAGAGCAGCCAAAGAAAGCATATTGAGGAAAATTCCGATCGGAGCGGAAGCGACGACGGTACTCGTGGGTGCCGTGGATTTTCTAGAACAACCGACAATCGCATTTGCTAGATTAGCCGAAGGAATATTAATGCCGTCGATAACGGAGGTAGGAGGGGAGGCGGGGTCGTGGGTGGGTGGGTGGGAAGAAGGAATTTGGTAAAACCGGAAACAAATCCATATTTTTCTTTTTGTTGTTTGTACCTCTAACAGGTAGCCATTCCGGTTCGTTTTCTTTTCGTTTTGTTGGGTCCACCACAATCGGATTTGGATTATCACGAAATCGGTAGATCGATATCGACCCTCATGGCTAACGACGTATGTTTTTCTATTTTCTTTTCTTTCCCCTTTTTTAACTTATATGAAAATGATATTAAAATTATTATTATTATTATTATTATTACAGCAATTTCATAACATAGCGTATAAAGCAACGAGAAGAAAAGAACTTTTATCGGCGATAAATGAATTTTTAGATGATAGCATAGTGTTGCCACCTGGGGATTGGGAAAGGAAAGCGCTGTTGCCATTTGCCGAACTCAAAGCTAAAAGTGAAGCGATACGTAAAAGGAAAAGTAAAAGATTGAAAGAAGCCAAAGCGGAAGGGGAAGCACAACAGAAAGGTGTGTGTGTGTCCGAATCCCGAAAGGAAATGAACCAGTAACAGCACACGGGGGGGTGGGTGTTAACCATTTTTTTTTTTCATTTACAGCTCTGTTGATATCCGAAGATGGTAAGAAGCCTCCGCACGACGATCCGTTGAGAAGAACGAAAAAACCTTTCGGAGGAATGATAAGAGACGTTAGACGAAGATTTCCACATTACAAATCCGACATAACGGACGGAATGAATCTTCAATGTTTGGCGGCGGCCATTTTTATGTATTTTGCCGCATTGTCGGGTGCCATAACGTTCGGAGGATTGATGGGTTCGTATGATTAACTCTTCTTTCTCCTCCCTCTTTTCCCCCCCTCCTCATTTATTTCTTACCTTTCGCAGGTGATAAAACGCACAATTTAATCGGAATATCGGAAACGCTCGTCGCGACTTGCATATCCGGTATATTATTCGCTCTTCTTTCCGGTCAACCTTTGGTAATCGTCGGTACGACGGGTCCTCTACTCCTCTTCGACGAAAGTTTATATTCCGTAAGTTTTTTTTCGTTAAAACCGTTTGCCGTCGAAACCGGAAATCCGCATCAATAATAATAATAATAATGATTTTTTATAGTTTTGCGAAACAAACGAAATAGATTATCTCGGGATAAGAGTTTACATCGGGATATGGCTTGGAATCATCGGTTTGATTGTTGTTTGTTTCGAGGGTAGCGTTTTCGTTAAAATGTTCACGAGGTTCACGGAAGAAATATTTGCCGCACTCATTTCACTTTTGTACATCGTCGAAAGTTTGGTTAAATTATTTTCGGTGAGACTTTTTTTTTTTGATAATCTGTCTGTCGTGGAAGGAGAAGAAGAAGAAGACGGTTAAAACCCCGATTTGAATTTTCAGTTGTACATAAGTCATCCATTGCTCAGCCTTTCCGAATACTGCAGCGACATGACTCCGCATAATTTCAGTCAAGAATACGTTAACGATAACGACGCGATGGTGAATTTAAACGAGAGCAACGCGAACGAAACGTTTCGAGAGGGAGGCGACACCGTCGACGACTTCATCAGAGCATCGCTCCTTATGAAAGAGGAAGGACCCGTCAATCAACCCAACACGGCTTTGTTCTGCACGATCCTCGCACTGGGAACGTTTTTCATTGCCTACTACCTTCGACAGTTTCGTAATAGTAAATTTTTAGGACGAAGCGTGAGTGAATTCATTTGTTTGTGTTTTTCGTAATCGTTCGACGAATCGACTCCATTTTGTTTTTGTGTTTAGGCGAGAAGAGCACTCGGTGATTTCGGAGTTCCCATCGCCATAGTCGTCATGGTCATATTAGATTATTTCGTACCGAGCACGTACACGGAAAAACTTCAAGTACCCGAGGGTTTGGAACCGTCGAAATCGGAAATCCGTGGTTGGTTGATTTCTCCCCTCGGAGTACCCATATGGGTCGCCCTAGGAGCAAGCGGACCCGCTCTCCTCGTTTACATTTTACTATTCATGGAAACTCACATAACGGAACTCATTATCGATAAAAAGGATCGTAAATTGAAAAAAGGTTCCGGATTTCATTTGGACATCGTCATTTTGTGCGTACTCAATATAGGATGCGGATTCATGGGAGCTCCGTGGATGTGTGCCGCGACGGTTCGTTCGATAGCTCACGTGTCCGCCGTGACCGTCATGTCTAGGACCCATGCACCCGGTGACAAACCACACATAATTGATGTGAAAGGTTAGTGAAACCAACGAAGCCAGCTTTTTTTTTTTCTTTTAGATAGAGCAAAAGAGAGAGAGACAGAGACAGGGATAGAGAGGGGGACAAAGAGGGATACAGACAGATACAGAGAGATAGAGAGGAAGAGAGACGAATAGAGAAAGAAAGAGAGGAAAAGAGAGAGAGACAGATAGAGGGAAAGAGAGAAAGACAGAAAGATAGCGAGAGAGAAAGAGGGAAAGAGAGAAAGAGAGAGAAAGATAGAGAGAGAGAGAGAGAGAGAGGGATAGACAGAGAGAGAGGGATAGACAGTGAGAGAGGGATAGACAGAGAGAGAGAGAGAGAGAGAGATTAAAGGAAAATTTAATTTTTAGAGCAAAGAATGAGTTCGCTACTCGTTTCGGCATTGGTCGGAATTTCCGTATTGATGGCTCCCCTTTTACGTTTGGTACCCATGGCTGTCCTTTTCGGTGTCTTCCTCTACATGGGTGTATCATCGACGAACGGAATACAATTTTTCGATCGTCTCAAATTGTTTTTCATGCCCGTCAAACATCATTCTCAAGCGTCGTACGTGAGAAGGGCAAGTATTAACTACAGTAAAATATGCGTATAAAAACAAAATGTCGGATTTCAACGAAACCTATTATTATTATTATCATCATCAATTTTACCTACAGGTTCAAACAATGAAAATGCATTTGTTCACATTGATACAATTGTTGTGCCTCGTCATATTATGGGTTGTCAAATCGACACCGATTTCTCTCGCGTTTCCATTTTTTCTCATTCTAATGGTACCACTCAGAGCACAGCTCAGATATTTATTCAGTCCTGCCGAATTGAGAGCGGTAATTTAAAACATTTAAAAATCTCGAATCGAACTATCGATCGATTAATCGATCAATCGATCGACTAATAATTATTTATTTTTTTTTAAACAGTTGGATAGCGAAGAAGTCGATGCCGATCCGGATAGTCCAGAAGACGAACCTGATTTTTACACGGAAGCTCCACTTCCAGGTTAAAAAACATTTGGAAAAAAAAAAAGTTTAATTAACAATTAATCGTTACAGTATTTTCGTCACGATAAAAATTTTCTTCCCTTTTTTTTTTTTTCTCGTAAAACTAAACAGTATTTATTATAGTAATTTATAATTTATTAATTTTATATATATATATATAATTTAACAAAGTTTTTTTTTTACACTTACATAAGATAATAATAATAATAATAATAGTAATAATAAGATGAAAAAGGTAGGACGTTTTAGAATGACAACTAAAAAAAAAGAAAAATTTGTTAAAATTATTATTTTTGTACATGCGGTGGGAGGGACGAGGGGAAGGGGAAGGGGAGGGGATAAAAAAAACAAAGGGGGAGGGAACGAGGGAGGGACGGAAGGCGGTAGGGCGGTAGGTAGGGGGAGGGTTTAAAGAAAAAGGCACGTTGTTATTTTTATTTAAAAACAATTTAGTTAGTGCCTTGTAAGTCTTATTCATCCGACCCAATCAATCAATCAATCAATGAGTGATGATGATAATAATAATGGTCTTCTGCTTAAAAAAATAACAAACAAACACGTACACACACACAAACACACGTATATATTTTTGTAGTATATATATACATATATAAATTATTATTATTATTATTATTATTATTATTATTATTTGATTAATTTGTAGTATTGTAGTTTTGTTTTAAGTATATATATATATATATATATATATATTTAATTTGTAGAAAATTCAACTGTTAAGTTTTTAAATTTTAAAAAATTTAAAATAAAATAAAATAAAATAATGTGATTTTATTATTGTTTATGTTAAAAAAATGTTTAATTTGAAAAAATTATCATTATCATTATTATTATTATTTTCAATAATATATATATTTATACGTTAGGAAAAAAAATATATATATATATATTTTAAATAAGAAAAAAATAAAATATTTTTTAAATTTTCCAATGTATGTATATATATATATATGAAATGATTAATTATTTTCGATCGATTAATAAAATCATTATTATTATTATTATTATTATTTGTTTGAATAGAAAAATAAAAATTATTATTATTATTATTATTACTATTTTTTTTCTATGTAACGATAATTTATTATTATTATTTTTGTTGGTAATTAGAATATATAAGAGAATTCGTTTAATTATTTTTTTAAATTAATAAATGAGTGGTAAATAAGTAATAAAAATTAATTAAATGTTATTATTATTATTATTATTATTATTATTATTAAGGTGGTAAAAAAAAAATTATTATTGTTAATAAAGAGATACGTGTGTGCGTGTGAGAGAGAGAGAGAATGTACGTGCGAAGTTTGTTTTACGTATGGAGGCGATGACGTAATAACGGCGGGTAAATTTGAAATATTTATCGTGTCAATAGTCGTTAGCAGAAAGCATTCGTTTTTTGAATCCGTTATAAATTTGTTGAAACGAACGGACAAGTGAAAACTAGTTGAAGACGGTGAATAAATAATAAAATATTAATTAATTAATTAATGTCGTTTCAAATTTTGCGTTTTAATTATTTATTTCTTGATGATTTTTTTAAATAAATTATTATGAATAAAATATTAAAATATTTCAAACGTCGTTTTTTATGCATTAACGGACATAGAGATGGTGAAATGATAAACGTAACGCAATTTTCACCAAGGTAAAGTATAAATATAATAAAACAATAAAAAAATTATAAAAAGGTAACATTTATTATTATTATTATTATTATTATTATTATTTCAAAATGTTTTTTATTAAATATGATGAGAGATTGTATTGAATTTATGTATATATTTATTTCTTTGTAAATTTTAGAATAACCAGATCAAAATCTAAACAATTACAAGGTATCGTAGCATCGAAAGATGATGAAAAAATTAATGATGGTAAAAATAAAAAGAAAATGACAAAGAAAACGACGACGACGACGTCGGCGAGGGTTTGTTTAAAAAATAATAATAAAATTGATAAATCTTGTGGTGAAATTAATTCAATACTCGCAAGTAGAGGAAGCGTCGGTTCGTTTTCATTATTACAAACGCCTAAAACTGAGAAATTATATAAAAAATCAACGACGATTAATAATTTGATACCGACGCCGTCATCGTCATCGACGCCGCCGCCATATTGTAAAAAATCATCGTCGAATAAATCGTTTGGATTGAAATCTCCTAAAATAGGTACGATATCCGCGGATACTCCAGAAAGAAACGGACATTTTTTTTCTAATATTAAAAATATTGGAGATTGCAGATTGAGAATATTGGGAAAAGGTAGTTTTGGTACAATAATACAAGCAACATATAAAGGTAACCATTTTCTAATCATCTAAAGAATAAACCTCCCCTCCCTCTCCCCTCTCCCTTGATAATTATTATTGTTTTTTCTTACAGGGAAATTAGTGGCTGCCAAAATAGTACCACCGCAAAAATCAGCAACGTTAAAAAACGAATTAAATAATTTTTTACTTTATCATCCGAACATTGTCCAAACTCTTCGGATAATATCAAACGATGAAAATTGTTCTTTCGGTTTGGTCATTATGGAAATGTGTTCTGGATTAAATCTGGAACATTTAACACAAGATGAATCTTTTGTACTTGATGATAAATCGATAACGAGGTTTTGTTTTTCAATCAAATCGTTTCCATTTCACAATGTTATCATCATCATCATCATAATTGTTTTCTTTTCTTCCTTACAGTTACATGACTGACATTAGTAGAGCACTTGGTCATTGCCATAGTCAAAAAGTACTTCATTTAGATGTTAAACCAAAGAATATATTAGTTAACCTTACTACAAACGTATGTAAGTTGTGCGATTTTGGAAGTTCTTGCCTTTTTATGGGAGTAGACAATGCAGGAGCCGATTACAAAGCACTGGTAAAATCCAGTTTTATCATCATTATCATCATTAACGTTTTTCTCCAACCATGAATGTGTTTGTTTAGTCGAAGGTTTTTGTTTATTTATTTTAGCAAAGTACTGTTATATATGCATCTCCAGAATTACTTTCTGGAGAATCGCCCACTGATAAAGCAGACGTTTATTCATTTGGTATAACGCTTTGGCAAGTCATACATAGGGAGAAACCCTACGTCGTAGATGATAAAATTGATTTACAATCAACAATTTACAAGGTTTGTTTGTTTAAATGATTAACGCCCTTCAATTTAAACTCAATGTCAATTATTTTCATCTTTAAAAATTATCATTTCACGTTTAAATAATAATAATAATAATAATAAATTCCGGTCATCGTGGGACCGTCGTTGGAAGCCATGACACACATAAAAGGAAATTTAAAAGAAGAAACCATCCAGGAAATTGCACTATGTGGGATGATTCTTCGGGATAATATATAAATAGCACCACCGAAATTTGAGCATTTGTCCCTAAGGAAACGGTCGGGTAGAAACCTGGAATAAATGCTTAAAAACCCCGACAAATAAGAGCCTTGTCGTGTTTAAGAGTGAACAATAATAATAATAATGTATGATCAATTAATCCACACCGATAGAACTGTGCCAGCTTACAAACCGGATATCATCCTGAGAAGGATAATAAAGGAAAAATGGTGTATGCTGATTGAAGTATCCGTGCCGTCGGAAGAATACACCAGACAGCCAAAGAAGAAACAGACAAAAGGCTGAAATATAGAAATTTGGAAATCGAAATAACCAGGATGTGGGGAACAAAAACTGAAACGATTCCGGTCATCGTGGGAGCAACGCTGGGAGCCATGCCACATTCAATAAAAGGAAATTTAAAGAAGATTTTGAAGAACCTAAAATAAGAAGAAACCATCCAGGAAATCGCACTATGTGGGACGGCCCACATTCTTCGGAAAATATTATAAATAGCACCACCGATATTCGAGTATTTGTTTCTAAGGAATCGGGTAGAAACCTGGGATAAATGCTTAAAAACCCCGACAAATAAGAGCCTTGTCGTGTTTAATAGTGATAATGATAATGATAAATTTTAAGGGTTATTCCCAGGTTTTTAAACGAGGGGTAGTATGAGAGAAGGTGCGGTGGTGCAAGTAAACAAAAGGGGAAAATTGTGCTACGTTTAATTGTATTACCTGGAAAATTTTTTCTTAGGATTCGTTAAAAAAAACTTAAAACTCCATTAAGTAATAATAATAATAATAATTTTTTCTTTAAATCTTTTTTTCAGATAGTCAAAAGAAAAACAAGACCGTGTAAAAAAATTAAAAAAAATGAATTTTTTGAAAATCTTTACACGAAATGTTGGGATCACAATCCAGAAAATAGGCCGGCAATGTTAGAAATAACAGAATATCTGGAAAACGTTCAAACTTACTAGGAAACGTTTCCCCCCCCACCCCCACACCCACATTTTATTATTATTAACGACCAGTGAATAATCAACGATACAGTTACAAGTAAGTTAATTTAATTTTGTAAAAAAAAAAAAAAAAATTATGGATTTTTTTTTAGTGGTTTATTCGGTCCATGTGACAGTTTATTTCATAATAATCATCATTATCATTCTCATCATCATCATCATCATCATCATCATCA